TGGTAGTGGTGGTACATGCCTTTAAGCTCAGCACGCCTGAAGCAGGTGTATCTCTGAGTTCGAGGCTAGGCTCTTCTACAGAGCGGGTTCCAGGCCAGGCTCCAAAGCTACACAGAGAAACCCTGTCTCGAAAAACACAAAATAAAAGTCAAGAATGGTATCACACATTTACAACTCCAGCAGTTAAGAGATGGAAGCAGAATGACCAGGAGTTTAAGACCTGCCTCAGCTGTACAGGGATTTGGAGGGCAGCTGGGGTTATGTGAGGCCCTGTATTAAGAAAACAAGAGCCGCCGGGCGTTGGTGGCACTCGCCTTTAATCCCAGCACTTGGGAGGCAGAGGCAGGCGGATCTCTGTGAGTTCGAGGCCAGCCTGGTCTACAAGAGCTAGTTCCAGGATAGCCTTCAAAGCCACAGAGAAACCCTGTCTCGGAAAAAAAAAAAAAAAAAAAAAACAAGAGCCAGTTGTAGTGGTGCATGCCTTTAACTTCAGCACTTGGGAGACAGAGGCAGGCAGACCTCTGTGAGTCTGAAGCCAGCATGGTCAAAACAACAGAGTTCCAGGACAGCCAGAACTATATAGCGGTACCCTCTTTCACAAACAACAACAAAACAAACAAACAAACAAACAAAGAAAACAAAAGATCACAAACAAATGGGGACAGGACCATAAATCACTAGAATAAAATTAATAAACATTAGCATAGAATTGTATGAGTGCTATATATCATAACTGTATTTTCAGAACAAACAATAAGAACAAAAGTTGACATAGCCTTGACAACTTGAATTTTGAACTATTTCAGAAACACTAGGAGACAACCTTTCCAAGATTATGGAAGCTGTGTCTAGGAAGAGATGAATGGGTGTTTGGGAACACTTCACTGTCCTATAGAATTTAAATTTTGCCAAAAGGGGAGGAAAGAAATAGTAAAGCGAAGGAAAGTTCTGGAGATGTGACAGAGAATGAAGATGATGCAGCAAGGGGCAAATCTGCAGAGACAGGGAGAAGACAAAATAGGAAGGACCTAGAGCAGTGATTCTCAACCTTCCTAAAGCTTGCACCCGTAATACAGTTCTTCTTGTGGTGACCATCCTCCATAAAATCATTTTCAATGATACCTCATAACTATTCTAAATCATAACATAAATAACTGTGTTTTCTTTTATTTTCTTTTGAGACAGGGTTTCTCTGTTTAGCTTTGGAGTCTGCCCTGGAACTCGCTCTATAGACCAGGCTAGCCTAGAACTCACAGAGATCCACCTGACTCTGCCTCCAAAGTGCTGGGATTAAAAGTCTGTGTCACCATGGCCTGGCTATATGTGTGTTTTCTAACGACTTTAGGCAACATCTGTGAAAGGGTCATTTGACTTCCTAGAGGGAAGTTGAGAACCACCAATGGATGACCTAGAAGCTATGTTGTGCCCAAGTTGCAAAGATCCCCAGAGACCCCCAGGGAGACAGACCCACCAAACTGTAAAAGAAAGGTTTATTGTTCATGCAACCATGACAGGGACCTCTTCTAGCTGTCTGATGCAGCAGCCTCTAGAGGAAGTGAAGTTCCCTGTCTACTACTAGGTTTTAAAGACAAAAGTTACAGCCGGGCGTTGGTGGCGCACGCCTTTAATCCCAGCACTCGGGAGGCAGAGGCAGGTGGATCTCTGTGAGTTCGAGGCCAGCCTGGTCTACAAATTGAGTTCCAGGACAGCCTCCAAAGCCACAGAGAAACCCTGTCTTGAAAAAAAAAAAAAAAAAAAGACAAAAGTTACAGGATTACATCAGTAGGTATGGGCTGGCTTCTGATTGGTTGACCTTTGGAAACAATTAGGAGAATTTCTCAAAGTCATATTTTGGCATGAAATACCTGTGTACCAATTATATTCTCATTGGTCAGTGCTGAGAGAGAACATTCTGTGGTTTCTATGGCATTGTCTTGTTACTGCAGGTGGCCTGTTGTTCATAGATACCAATAGTTTTCAGAACTGTGTCCTGGAGACTACAGGGGAGTTTTGGTCTTCCCTAGAGTTTCTTTTGTGGTTAAACAGTTCCCAGGAACCAAATATCTAGGAGGCTGGGTGGGTCTGGAGTTTCTTTGAGTTCAGTTTTGGCCCTAGGCTCTGGGATGCCAGAGGATCTGGAGTTTCCTTGTGTCAGAGGCCTACATGTCTTTTCTGTAGCCTGTCATGGCTGCTAAAGCAGGGGGCTGAGTCAGGGTCTGGTCCCTTCAGCTAATGATAGTTTCCTACTAATGTTCACTATGAATTTACTAAATGCTATACTAAGCAGTTTACAAGGGTTATGTCCCTTCACCTCAATAATCATGTCTCACTTTACAGATGAAAAATGTGAGCTTCAGAAATGAAAAGCTACTTGCCATGTGTCACACGGCTACAAGACTTTCAAGGTCAGTCTGTGATTTATTTTGTTTTCTCCAGATCTTCCAGTTCAGTCTCCCTCCAAAGTGCTGAGGTTACAAGTTCATAATACCACACTGGGCTTTTGCTGTTGCTGCTGTTTGCTTTTGTTTTGTTTTGTTTTGTTTTGCTGTTTTGAGGCAGGGTCACATTTGTAGCCCTAGCTGGCCTAGAACGTGCTATGTAGAACAAGCTTAGGTCCCAACGCATAGAGAGCCCTGTCCTCTGCCTCCTGAGTGTTGGATTAAAAAGGGGTGGAGCAGCCCGGCGTTGGTGGCGCACGCTTTTAATCCCAGCACTCGGGAGGCAGAGGCGGGTGGATCTCTGTGAGTTCGAGACCAGCCTGGACTACCAAGTGAGTTCCAGGACAGGCTCCAAAGCCACAGAGACCCTGTCTCGAAAAACCAAAAAAAAAAAAAAAAAAAAAAAAAAAAAAGGGGTGGAGCACCAGGCCCGGGACTTAGTTGTTTGTGGGTTGTCACTGTTGTTTTTTTCTTTCTTTAAAGCTTTCCATGTGACTGAAGCTGGCCCAGAACGTCCTATGGTAACCCAGGTATGCCACAAATTGTGATCCTCCTGCCTCAGACTCCCAAGTGCTAGTGGTTACAGATGTCTGCCACCACCCCTACTTTTAAGACACGGTTCTCACGCCGGGCTGTGGTGGCGCATGCCTTTAATCCCAGCACTGGGGAGGCAGAAGCAGGTGGATCTCTGTGAGTTTGAGACCAAGCCTGGTCTACCGAGTGAGTTCCAGGACAGGCTTCAAAACAATATAGAGAAACTCTGTCTCGAAAAACAAAACAAAACAAAACAAAACAAAAAGATACAGTTCTCTGTTTGTTTTTGTGTTTTGTTTTGTGTGTGTGTGTGTGTGTGTGTGTGTGTGTGTGTGTGTGTGTGTTGTTTTTCAAGACTGGGTTTCTCTATAGCTTTGGAGGCTGTCCTGAAACTCACTCGGTAGACCAGGCTGGTCTCGAACTCACAGAGATCCGCCTGCCTCTGCCTCCTGCCACCACCGCCTGGCTGTTTGTTTTCTTTGAGATAAAGGTTTCTCTGTGTAACCCTGACTGTCCTGGAACTCCTTCTGTGGCCCTGATTGGCCTCAAATTCAGAGAGCCACCTACCTCTGCCTCCCTAACGCAGGGATTAAAGGCATGTGCCACTACCAGTCAGCTTCATGTTTTTTTTTTTTTCCTTAATCTGTAGGGAAAAAGGACCAGCCAAAGAAACACTCTATGCAGAGCCAAGGAAACACATTTTGGCTCTGCAACTAGAACCAAAGAAATGTACCCTGATCCTGAAACCAGTGCCAAAGAAACACACTTCATCCCTGGAATCAGAGCCAGAGAAATATACCCTGGCCCTAAAACTAGAGCCAAAAGGCTAAAAAGGACCAGAGAAAGAAACACACTTTGGCCCTGAAACCAGAGCCAAATCTGACCTTAACCCCTGTGCAGAAAACTAACCAATCCTTGAGCAGAGTTCTAGCCAATCTGTGAAATCTGACCAATTCCCACCCTGGAAAACTCCGCCCCCTAAGAAGTCCAATATAAACCCTGTGTCTGTTCTGCTTGTGGCTGTTCCTGCTACCCGGCTTTCCTCTGCCAAAGTGGCAGAGGGCAGCCACTCTCCTGGATTCTTCCCTCCCAATAAACCCTTTTGATGAACTTTGGGTGAAGACCTGTTGCAGCGGAGCAGAGACAACGCTGGGCAGAGCAGAGCCAGCAGGGCTGTAACACTTCTGCGAGTGGCAGAGCAGAGTTGAACTGTAGCAACTTCCGCCAGGGAAACCTTCTCCCTTCTCCTGCTGAGCAGATACACTGGGGAAGCCTTTTCCTGAGGCAGGGCTATAAGCTCCTACACGACCTGTGGTGGTCCTTGGCTCCCGAGCTCCAGGATACCTTTCCATATAAGATGTGTAACACTCAGTATTCTGTGACTCCTGAGTGCCAGAATACCTGTCCCACGAGATCCGTCCAAAATGCCTACAGCAATAATGTTGGTTTTGAGCATGCTAGGGAGCATGCAAGTTAAACAAACACACTTCCACTGTGTTATATCCCCAGGCTTCTTTTCATTTTTTAAATTTTGAAACAATTCTACTACACTAACTAGGCATGATTTGAATTTGTGATTTTCTGTCATTGGAATTTTAGGGGAGGGAAGTGAAAAGGTCAAGATTTTTAGAAAGGCTTATGTTAGTAGAATTAAAAACAAAATGGTGGGGGAAAAAAGAGCTTGCTGCGGGGCCTAGTGGTACACAGCTTTAAATCCAGTTTCAGGAGGCAGAGGATCTCTATGAGTTTATGAGTTCGAGGCCAGCCTGCTCTACTTAGATAGCTCCATGCCTGCCAGGAATTATGCAGCGAGACCCTGTCCGAAAAACAAACAAAAAGAAGTAGGTGGTGTGGAGGGGGAATCCTGGTGCTGTTTCTAGGCTCTACCTAAGAGTGACCAGAACAGCCTGGTGAAGAAAGCTTAGAGGCTAGATTTAGGACCGTTCGATGCTCGGCTGCTTTTGCCTGTAATCGTCGGGCTTCCGCCATTGGCTGCCGCCCACAGGAAATAGTGTCGAGCTCCGATCTGCGAGAACGCGATCCTGACTGGGGGTTGCGGGCGGACGCAGGCTCTGTGGCGGCATGAGTTTGGCTGGGGGCCGGGCCCCTCGCAAGACCGCTGGGAACCGGCTTTCTGGGCTCCTAGAAGCCGAGGAGGAAGATGAGTTCTACCAGACGACTTACGGGGGTTTCACAGAGGCAAGAGCCGGGCCGGAAGAGGGAGGGGAGGAGGCGGAATCCTGAAGGGAAAACCCTGGACAAAGAGGAAGGGGGCGGGGAGTGGAGGTGTTCTGAGAGCTAATGCTCCTGACGGGATGGCGGGGGCGGGAGCACCCCGTGTGTGTCTGTCTGCGTTTTCTTGTCCTGGTGTCGGATTATTCACGGAAAGGAGCCGCTTCAGTTTTCAGCTTTCAAATCTCTGAGTACGGTTTTCTAAGTTGACCCTTTATTGACCGTTCTAAGAGGATCCCCATTTATTTCTATCATAGAAACAAAATTTCAGCTTCTAATTAAATTTGTCTTCTTTTCTTTCTCTGGTTGGTTTGTAAGGTCTGTAAGGTTAGAGTTCAGTTGGTTTTTGGTTTTTGTTTTTATTGGTTTTTATGAGACAGGGTTTCTCTGTATTGTTTTGGAGGCTATCGGTCCAGCCCAGCCTCGAACTCACAGAGATCCGCCTGCCTCTGCCTCCCGAGTGCTGGGATTAAAGGCGGTCGCCACCACCGCCCGGCCCAGTTGTTTTGTTTTTTCGTTCAGGGCTGCCTCTTGGCTAAATGTTTATTATTAGAAACTATTCATTGATTAAATATATGTTGATCACCCAGGTTATTGTACCATATGTGATAGGTTGTGGTGGGCTCCTTGGAAACATTAAAAACTGCCCTGGGATTGGGACTGTTGTTTGTGGCTTAGTGGTAGACCACTTGCCTAGTAAGCCTGGGTTACCAGCCCCTGGCAAAAAAATGAAAAAGGAAGCCCCATCCTGCAGGGGAACTGTCTGGCTTCACAGTCAACTAAGAAGCTTTATGATAAAGACTTAAAGTCAAGGAAACATGAGATACTCTGGTAACAGGGGCAGGTTTGTGGGTTTTTTTTAAATATTGCATTATGTTTGTATGCTTGCATATGAATATCAGAGGGCAGCATGGAGAGATTCAGTCTCCATCCATCGTAGGAGCCCCAGGAATCAAACTCAGGTGGTCAGGGTTGTGCTTTACCACTGAGCTATCTGGAAGGCCACAGAATGGTTAAAGATAGGGATTCATGAGGAAATATCATTTAAACTGAGGACATTATAAAAAGTAAGCCTCGGTTGGATGAAGAGTCAGGGAAGAGAAAGCCTCAATTGAAGAAGATGAAGTAGTCTGTGGAGGCACTGAAGTCCTGCTGTGACACCTACAAGTCTGCTTTTGTTCTCTGGGAGAGTAAAGATCGGGACAGCGAGGGGGTGTAGGCCTGAGCTGGATTTGTTTTGTTTCTCTGTGTAGCCCTGGCTGTCGTGGAACTCCCTCTGTAGACCAGGCTGGCCTCACAGAGATCCACCTGCCCTGCCTCTCATGCCATGCCCCACCTAGGTGCCCTCCTCCCTGGAGCACCACTCCCCATGTAGCCCCGGAACTCGCTCTATGAACCAGGCTGTCCTGGAACTCAGAGATCCGCCTGCCTCTGCCTCCGCCTCCTGAGCGCTGGGATTATAGGTGTGCACGACTACACCTGGCCTTACGTAGTTTTGTTTTAAATGGGGTTACTTAACCAGCCTTAAAGTCTAGGCAGCCCTCTGCCTCACACTCTTGAATCCTGGAATTGCAGGTGTTTGTCACTACCCTGGAATTCCCCCTTCCGCCTCCCCAGTCAGATTTTGTAGACACAATGAAGCAGCATTAAGCAGTGTGACTTCTCATTTAGAGGTCTGAAATGAGGCATCAAAGTTCCATCATTACATTTGTGTTAAAAAGATTACTCTCGAGCTGGTAGTGTCAGGGAGGCTGGGACGGGAGGGTCACCTCCAGTTCTAAGCTGCGTGGGCCGTCTTTCCAGTTCCGTGCTGACTCAGCCATTTATATAACTATGAGATAAGCCTAAAGAGCACAGTGGCAGAAAAGAAACGTGGACAAGGTCTGGGCTGGGGACGTCACTGGTGTTCGGAGATAATTTTCTTAGCATGCCTGAAGGCTTGGATTCCATCTCCCAGCACTATGGGATGGAGGTAGATACGGGATAGTGTTGATCGAGTGAAGGGGAGTTTTTTGAAAGAAAAGAATAGACAAGACTTTATGACTAATTAGGAGCCTCTACGTACACAACTTTAGTAAACTAGTTTAAAATAGATCTCTCTCATCCTTCCTCCAAGGTTCATTTTCCTATTCCTGTCATTTTATGAGATGTTATTTTAATAGGTGCACCTCATGCTTCCAAGAAGGATTTAAGAAAGGTTACAATAGAAACAAAAAATGGTAGCAATAAAAATAGAAAATGAGCAGAACAAAATATATTAATGTATGAAAATTTCAAAGATTAAATAAAAATTAATTTTTAAAAAATCAGAAGTATTTGTGCCAAGAATCTATGCTAAAATGGAAATGATATTTGATAACTCTGAGCTTCCTAGCAGTAGACTGAATTCGTTCTTTTGTAAGACTGAAGTATATGATATATTGAAGAAAGACAAATTTACTTAGCATTAAATTCTAGGGAGAATGTCTCATTTTTTTTTTTTTTTTTTTTTTTGGTTTTTCGAGACAGGGTTTCTCTGTGGCTTTGGAGGCTGTCCTGGAACTCACTTTGTAGACCAGGCTGGCCTCGAACTCACAGAGATCCGCCTGCCTCTGCCTCCCAAGGGCTGGGATTAAAGGCGTGCGCCACCAACGCCCGGCGAATGTCTCATTTCTTTACATGAGGTACAACTAAAGTAATTGGGGGTTTGGCATAAGTAGGGTGTCCTCTGGTTGCGTATTAAGGACTGGAAAAGATCTTGCCCAGTGCTACATCAGTAAGTCGGTAGTGTAGTAAAAACATTGAGATTGGGCACACTAGCGAGAACCTGATCTACCACTGTCTGGTAGTGTGGGTTAGCACCAGGGCGGAGCTGAGGGGTCAATGTGTTCTGAGTCTCCTTCACAAACATTAGTTACGAAGAATGGTGGTCTGTATGCTGGATTGAACTCTGGCTGGCTTTGCTGGCTTTGGCAACCTGTGTACCACAGTTAATCCATTAGTTGAATCACTGATTGAAGAGAAGCCTTGCTTAGGGTGCCACCCCGGTCCAGCTGACTTCGCCTCATCAAGTGATTCTCCCCCTTTCCAGTGCAGCTGCTATTCAAGTCTTAACCTGTATTACCTCAGGTTGCATTGGAGGTTCTGTACTCTAGTCCTTCTAACTCCCACAGCTTTCTGAAACATTCCATGTACATACCCCGTGTCCTCAGTGGCCCCACTATCCATAGTAGTATTCAGGTAGCTCTCTGTTCCAACTCACATGAAGAATACATTTCTCTCAGTAACTATACCTCAGCAGTGATGGTCAACACTGGGGTAGGTCCGGAGATGAGGGGGTTGAGACTCTGGCCTACAGATTAAGTCCCAAGTTTATTACCTTGAGTTTACATTTTTCCAAAGATAAGAGCACAACCATTTATAACTCTTTTTTATTTTTATCTGTTTCTGGGTTTTTTTGTGTGTGTTTGTTTTTTGTTTTGTTTTGTTTTTTGACAGGGTTTCTCCATGTAACAGTCCTGGAATTCTATAGACCAGGCTGGACTCAAGTTCACAGAGATCCACCTGCTTCTGTCTCAGGAGCACCAGGATTAAAGGCATATGTCACCACTGCCCAGCTAATTACTTCTTCTTTTTTGTATATGGATGTTTTGCTTATATGATTGTCTGTATACCAAATATATGCACTACTCATGGATATCAGAAAAGGGTAAGATCCCCTGGAACTGGAGTTATGGGTGGTTGTCAGCTGCAGTGTGTGTGCCTAGACCTGAACCCAGGTCTGTAAGTGGTCTGTAAGTGCCATTTCTCTAGCCCCAGGTTCTATGTTTTTGAGACAGGGTTTCATGTTCCTTAGGCGGGCCTCAAACTGGCAACACAGCCAAAGATGACTTTGAATTTGTTTTTGTTATTGTTGTTTGTAATTTATTGTTTATCTCTATTTTTGTGTGCCTTGGTGTTTTGCCTGCATTTGTGCCTGTATGGGGGTGTCAGATCCTCTGGAACTGGAGTTACAGACAGTTGCCATGTGGGTGCTAGGCACTGGACCTGGGTCCTCTGGAAGAGCAGCCTGTGCTCTTCACCACTGAGCCATCTCTCCAGCCCCCAGTGATTTTGAACTTGTGATCCTCCTGCATCTACCTCCTTAACGCTGGGATTGCAGTTGTGCAATACACCCAGTTAATGCAATGTTAGGGACTGAACTCATGGCCTCATTCATATTAGATAAGCATTCTACCAACTGAGCTATTTCCTGAGCCCTTATTCAGTTTTTTGGGAACAGCATCTCTTATAACCCAGACTTGACCTGAACCTATAATTAGCCAACTAATTTTATATCTATGTTTCTTTATTTTAGAACTTATTTGTGTTTTTAAACTTATTCGTGGTTTTGTTTCAAGTAGAGTCTCACTCTGTAGCTTATGCTGTCCCAGACCTCACTGTGTAACCCAGGTTCCCCTCAAACTCACAGCAATCTTCCTGTCTAGACTTCCTGAATGTGGGATTATAGTCAAGAACCATCTTGACTCATAGCTCAGCTCCAAGTTCTTTTCATAGCTATCTGTGTTCTATCCTTCAGTAAATGAGGCCAAACAACACCCTTTAGATCTCCAGTAATTAACATGGTGTTATAGATGATATAGGCCAGCTGTCTGTAACCCTGGATGGCAGTGATGCTCAACTAGAACCCTCATCTAGAAAGGCTTTTTCTGTGGGGAGTGAAGAGTCCCCGTCAGGGGAGTGAATTAATCTACTTCCTTCTCCAGGATGGTTAACAGTACCAGCCAGTTCCTATCTTCCTTTGTCCTCAGGAATCTGGAGATGATGAGTATCAGGGAGATCAGTCTGATACAGAGGATGAGGTAGACTCTGACTTTGACATTGATGAAGGAGATGAGCCATCCAGTGATGGAGAAGCAGAAGAGCCGAGAAGGAAGCGCAGAGTTGTCACCAAGGCCTATAAGGTACAAAGGAACCTGTTTCTTTAGACACCAAGGAAATCTTTTTTTTTCCCGAGGGGGGAATAGGGGTGGCATGGAGGGGGGCACTTCTATTTATTTGTTTGTCTGCTTATTTATTTATTTATTTCAAGGCAGGGTTTCTCATGTGACAGTCCTAGTTGTCCTGGAATTCTCTTTGTAGACCAGGCTGGCCTTGAACGCTCAGAGATCCACCTGCCTTCGATGTACTGGGGTTAAAGGTGTGAACCACCAAATCCAGCTGCTTGGACCATCTTAATTGTGTTCTCCTCTTGCTGGGTGCTGGTTCTGTCTGATAAAATCCTCAGTTTACCCTTACTCTTCTGTTTTCTGGTATCTGATTCTAATTTGTCCCCAGGAGCCTCTAAAGAGCTTGAGGCCTCGAAAAGTCAGCACCCCAGCAAGTAGCTCTCAGAAGGCCAGAGAGGAGAAGGCACTGCTGCCCCTGGAGCTACAGGATGACGGCTCTGACAGTAAGTTAAAGCTGCTGACAGAATGTAAATGTGATGATTAAATGTTCTGTCTGCACTAAGTGCACTAAGGTTGGTAACTGTTTTGTCATGTAAGGAGGGGGTGTGTGTGTGTGTGCATGCGCACTTGTGTGTGCAGATGTATATGGACAGTTATGGGGTGGGGTTTGTTACATGTGTGCCAGTATCTGAGCCTGAGCCCAGTGGTCATGACTGCTCAACAAGCACTTTAACCACTGAGCTAACTCTTCAACTCGGGAAAATCCTTGTTCTTAGAAATATACCTGGTCTGGTGGTGCAGGCCTGTAATCACAACTACTCAAGAGGCTGCAGCAGGAGAATCAAGGCCAAGTGAGAATGTCTCAAAATTAAAAATATGAGGGCTGGCTGGTGGTGGCGCACACCTTTAATCCCAGCACTGGGGAGGTGGAGGCAGGCAGATCTCTGTGAGTTTGAGATCAACCTGGTTTACAGAGTGAGTTCCAAAGACAGTCAGGACTGTTACACAGATAAATCCTGTCTTGAAAAACGAGAAGAAAAAAAAGAAAAGAAAGAAAGAAAATTTGTTTTAGTTGGGCATGATGGTATATGCCTTTAATCCTATCCCTGCAAGAAGCAGGAGGATCTCTGAGTTCTAGGTTACACTGATCTACATATCGAGTTCCAGGACAGCCAGCGCTCCATTGTTTGAAGTCTGTTTAAAAAAAAAAACAGAAGGAGAAGAAGGAAAGTAGAAATGAATTCAAAGAGTTCTCCCCATCTCACTTTTTGCAGGTCGGAAATCTATGCGTCAATCTACAGCTGAGCACACACGACAAACATTCCTTCGGGTTCAGGAGCGGCAGGGACAGTCCCGGAGGCGAAAGGGTCCCCACTGTGAGCGACCACTAACCCAGGAAGAGCTGCTCAGGGAGGCCAAGATCACAGAAGAGCTCAATTTACGTTCACTGGGTTAGTCTGTGACTTGGGGAAAGTGGAGACAGTGAGGTTCATGAGAAAAACTGAAACCTGGAAGACCAGAGAAATGAAGACTTGAGGCAAAATAATTAGAAAGCTCACACTTAACAGTCCCAGTCTGCCAGGGGGCGGTGGTGCACGTCTTTAATCCCAGCACTTTATGGGGAGCAAGAGGCAGGGGGATCTCTGTGAATTCAAGGCCAACCAGAGCTACATAATGACACCATGTCTCCACCCCAAATAAAAAAGGGAAACTGTCATCAGGAATTGAATTTATCTGAAAACTGGACAGATTGAATGTCTGAGCTAGGAGCAGGTTGGTAGGCTGTTTGGGGTTGGGAGGAATGGAAATGAGTGGGTTCCTATCACAAGGCCTCTTCGCGTACTGAGTGGGTAAGGACCGACGTGTATTTGAGAAGGGAAGGACCCCGATAGCTGACCAGAGGAGCAGTGATTAGATTGATAATTAAGAGCATAGGACAGGGCCCAGTGAGATCTGTGATGGCTCAGCACTTGCCAACAACCCTGTTGACCCAAGTTTGATCCTGGAATTCACATGATATAAGCAGGGAACTGACTCTGGCAAGTAGTTTTCTGACCTCTACATGCATGTGCACATGTGCGTACACACACACACACACACGCACTCATAAATGCATACATGTAGTTTAAATAGATGACAGGCCAGAGCTAGGGTGTGGGAAAAGGAGACTGATCCTCCCTCGTTCTCCTTTGATCTTGAAGAGACCTATGAAAGGCTGGAGGCTGACAAAAAGAAGCAGGTTCACAAGAAGCGCAAGTGCCCTGGGCCAGTAATCACCTACCATTCGGTGACAGTGCCACTTGTTGGGGAGCCTGGTCCCAAGGAGGAGAATGTGGATGTGGAAGGGTGAGTGAACCCCGTCTCCTTTGCTCCTCTTAGAGATCATTTCCTCCGACAGACATTTCAGATCTCATCCTTCCCTCGGCTCATTCCTTCCTGTTTTGTTTTCTTGAGCAGTCTCCCTGTGTAGCCCAGGCTAGTCCCAAACTCCTGATCTACCTGCATCTTCTCTTTAGTAAATGCGAATCACCATGCCCAGGTTTTCTTTTTTTTTGTTTGTTTGTTTGTTTGTTTTTTTGTTTTGTTTTGTTTTGTTTTTTTTGGTTTTTCGAGACAAGGTTTCTCTGTATTGTTTTGGAGGCTGTCCTGGAACTCGCTCTGTAGACCAGGCTGGTCTCGAACTCACAGAGATCCACCTGCCTCTGCCTCCCGAGTGCTGGGATTAAACCATGCCCAGGTTTTCATTGGTTTGTTTGTTTATTTTTGTTTTGTTGATTGGTTTGTTGGTTTTGAGACAGGATTTCTCTGTGCAGCCCTGGCTGTCCTAGAACTCACTCTGTAAATCGGCTGGCCTGGAAGTCACAGAGCTCCACCTGGGAATAAAGGCGTGTTCAGCTACTGCCCAGCATTTTTATTTTATTTTATTTAAATGTGTATCAGTATTTTACCTGCACATATGTAGGGCCTGGTGCCCATTGAAGCCAGAAGGAGACAGATTTCTTGGAGCTGGAGTGGCAGGTGGTGTGAGCCGCCATTTGGGTGCTAGGACTGAAGCCCATGTCCTCTGGGAGAGTAGCCATGCTGCTCTTCATTGCCAAGTCATCTTTCGCCCCATGCCCAGCTTTTTGTATTGAAACAGGTACCCGCTCTGTCTCTAGCGGCTTGAAACTCAGGGAGTCATCTTCCCTCAGCCTCTTAAATACTGACATTACAGGCATGCACCACCTGATTTCTTGTGATTTTTCTGTCTTTTGCCCTCAGACTTGATCCTACTCCTACAGCTTCTGCACTGACTGCACACCCTGGGTCTGGACCTGCCGCCCCTCCTGCTCACTGCTCACGCACCTTCATCACATTTAGTGATGATGCGACATTTGAAGAGTGGTTTCCCCAAGGGCGACCCCCAAAGGTCCCTGTTCGGGAGGTCTGCCCAGTGACTCATCGCCCAGCGTTGTACCGGGATCCTGTTACAGACATACCCTATGCCACTGCTCGAGCCTTCAAGATCATTCGTGAGGCCTACAAGAAGTACATCACTGCGCATGGACTACCGCCCACTGCCTCAGCCCTAGGCCCTGGGCCCCCACCCCCTGAGCCACTCCCTGGCTCTGGGCCTCGAGCCTTGCGTCAGAAAATTGTCATCAAATAGGACACTTGCTCCTTAGAAATGTCTTTCCTCTGCCAACCTGGCTCTCAGTTCCTCTTCCCTTTGTCCTTGCTGATCTTTGCTGGGTTTTTTTCTTCACCATTTCCGCCCCTAGTTCATTCTGGTTTTGTTGTGTTGTTTTCTTTTTTTAATCTAATAAAATGGTAAAATCCTTTTGTATGGTATGAATGTGTAAGTGTATTTGTATACTTGGGTTGTTTAATTTTGTTTGTGCTGGGATTGAACACATGGCCTTGTTCATGCTGGACACCACTCACCTTGTTTGTTTTCTCCCTCTTTTCCTCTCTCCCTCTCTTTTTTCTCTCTGTTTTGAGATGGGGGTCTCTACATAGCCCAGGCTGGTCAGATAAGATCTCCCTGCCTTTGCCTCCTAAGTGCTAGAATTTCTTGGCTGTTACACCTGTCCCTAGGCCTTTTTATTGTTTGATAGCACTTGCTATGAGCTGATGTTTGTTTTTGTTTGTTTTCATCTATAGGTGTTTTGTCTGCATGTATGTGAATACAGTATTCATGTATGCACATATGATATACACAGAGGCCAGAACATGAGATTGAATCCCCTGGAATGAAGTCACAAACAGTTGTTGCTGCCATGTAGTTGCCAACTGCTGGGTCCTCTAGAAAGGCAGCCGGTGTTCTTAACTTGGCCACTTAGCCATTTCTCCTTTTTTTATTTTTTATTTTTTGGTTTTTTGAGACAGGGTCTTTTTTTTATTTTTTATTGTTGTTGTTTGATTTTCTTTTTTGAGACAGAGTTCCTCTGTGTAGCCTTAGCTGTTGTGGAATTCCCTCTGTAGACCAGCCTGCCTCAAACTCTCAGAGATCCACCTGCCTCTGTCTCCCAAGTACACTGTGAAAAGACACCATGACCACAGCACCTCTTATAAATGAAAACAGTTAGAGGTTCCGTCCATTGCTATGGTGGGACATGGCAGCAGGCAGGCAGACATGGTGCAGGAGAAGAAGCTGAGAGTCCTACATCTTGCAAGCAACAGGAAGTGGTCCGAGTATCACACTGATCGAAGCTTGAGCATGTGTGAGACCTCAAAGCCTGCATCCACAGCAACACACTTCCTCTAAGGCCACACCTACTCCAATAAGGCCACACTTTCTAATAGTGCCACTCCCTTTGGAAGCATTTTCCTTCAAACCACCACACAACATTTCTCTGTGTAGCCCTGGCTGTCCTGGAACTTGCACTGTGGACCATGCTAGCCTCAAACTCACGGATCCACCCTGCCTCCCAAGGGCTGGGATTAAAGGCATGTACCACTATCACCCGGTTTTTTTTTCTTTTGAGTGATTTATTTATTTCATGTATATGAGTGTTCTGTCTTTCTGGGTGTCATATCCCATTACAGATGGTTTGTGAGACACCACGTGCCCAAGTACATGTTGGGAATTGAACTCGACCTCGAGAAGAGCAGCCAATGCTCTTAACCACTGAGCCATCTCTCCAGCTTATTTTTATTTTTGGGGGGTAGGGTTGAGACAGAGGTTCTCTGTAAAACAGTCCTTGCTGTCCTGAAACTTATTCTGTAGACCAGGCTGGCCTCGACCTCACAGAGACTCACCTGCCTCTGCCTCCTGAGTGCTTGTATTAAAAGCATGCACCACTGCCACCCAGCTCTTACTCTTACATTTAAACACAAGTTATTGCTAAATTGTCCAGACTAATTTCAGACTTCTGGGCTCAAGCAGTTCTTCAGCCTCAACCTTCCCAGTGCTGGGCCTGGAGGTGCAAATCACTGCTCCTGCTTTGTCCTAGTATATATTTATTATACAAAACAGTAGGCTTCATAAAGATGCTTTTATTCAAGCTAGTGTTTATTTTTATTATACCTACCTGGGGTGTCCATAAGTAATTCTAAAGTATTCGTTCTTTAAAGTTAAATACCAAAACAAAATCCTTACACTGACTGTATGTGTGTGTGTGTGTGTGTGTGTGTGTGTGTGTGTATACATGCATGTGTCAGGGGTGATGTGCATATGCAGAGGCCAGCCAGTGTCTTCTGTGTGTGTGTGTGTGTGTGTGTGTGTGTGTATACATGCATGTGTCAGGGGTGGTGTGCGTATGAAGAGGCCAGCCAGTGTCTTCTGTGATTCCACCCATTCTTTTGATGAAGGGTCTTTTCCTGAACCTGGGGTCATGCTTTCTAGGTTATCAAAAGCCAGCAGTCCCCCAGTGGGGCCCTTTGGTCTCTGGATGGCAGGAGCAGGTTACAGGCATGTATGAGATGACAGGCTTGTTATGTTGGTGCTGGAATGTCAACCCCAGTCCTTACAACTGCACAGCAAATAACTACTTGAGCCATCTCTCTCCTACCCCCCCCCTTTAAAAAACGTTTGCTATGCATCCCGTGTTGACTTTGGGCTGTGTAGCTCACGCTGCTCTCCATCTTGTGGCAGCCCTGCCTAGCCTCCCCTGTGGCAGGAATACAGTGTGAATCACGGTGCCCAGCCACACTGGTGTAACACCTTCCTTCTACTCAGTGCTTTGAATGGAACAGGTACCGTCCAGTCATCTGATTCTCCCCTGGAGGACTCTGCTTGTAGGAAAAGAGGTGTCGTGGCCGATACTGGCCACTAGAGGCTCTCAGGGCCGGGCAAGGTATGGGGTCTGTGTATATGTGATCTCCCACCACTCCCCACCTGGCCAGAGCTAAAATAATAAAATGCTGAGCTCACTGTTCCCCCACTCTCTCCCCCGGCACCAGACTCCTCCTGCTGACCGGACAGTGCCCCGGTAGAACAGACGGACCAACTGACAAGGGGAGGTGAGAGGTGGCAATTGGGACTGGTAGGTGGGAAGAAGGGTCTCAGGGATGAGGACCCGGTGGGAGGTGGGAAGAGTGGCCCCAGGAAAAAAGAGAGCACGTTGTCTTTGTCTCTGTCACTCTGTGTGTTTCTGCCACTGCTGTCTTGACTCTGTTCAGTTTATGCTGGCCATGTCTCCTTTTCGGGATCATCTTACATATTAAGCATGATGTGTGTGTAGAGCTTGGGTGCATTTTTCACACTGTAAAAGATTGTACAAGTTAATCATCCCACTACCCCACTTAGAAGGCATTTTTTGCCCAGTGTTTTAGTGTCACCTTTCTGGTGACAGATTATGGGAGCTGAGAGCCTTCTGAGGCCATATTGCCCTTCCCCCAGGCTGGAAGTGCCCAGCTCCTAAGCCTTACTTTCCCTTACGATTTAGAACTTTAGCCAACACAGAAAGTGAGATCTTGGTCCTTTACAATCAAGGAGGAAAGGAGGGTGGCATGAGAGGCCACTACTCCAAACCAGCCAATTTTCCTTACTTACCCAGTTTCAAAAGAGGTCTGGGTAGCGGGGAAGAGAGGCAGAATTTCCCCTCTCTGCCACCCCCTCCCTCCTTTCAATAGGAACTGGGCATGGGGCCAGCTGCACTGGCAGGGCCCCCAGCAGCTGTGTTAAGGCAAGAGACACTGTCGGATAAAGTTGTAGGGGAGGGTGCTGCCCGGATTTCTCCATCACAGAGGGCAGACAGACCCAGTCTGGAGCTCAGAATCCCCATCCAGAATGACTGGAAAGTGCAGGACCAGGGAAGGAAATTATAACAGTGAACAGTCTAATCTTTCCGCCCCCGGTGGACTCTGGCCTCCGAGGTATCTAGTTCAGCGTTCTAACCATGGCTAGACTTCTTGTGTCTGCAGTGTCCGTGTCCAATAACTTTTCCCATCCCCCCACCCCCAGGCTGTGAGTGTCACAGAGTGGGGAGAGGGTAGGGGCCACCATGTCATCCTATCAAAAGGAACTGGAGAAATACAGAGACATAGATGAAGATGAAATCCTAAGGACCTTGAGCCCTGAGGAGCTAGAACAGCTGGACTGTGAGCTACAGGAAATGGACCCTGAGGTAGGGGCACCGGCACGGGGACTGGGACATTCCTACATATGCGGGAAGGAGGGGACACTGCGGGGTTGAGACCCCGGCCTGAGGTAAGGAAGCAACACAGGGGTCAGGGCATCCCTGCGCACTCGGGAAAGATAGGGGTACTGGGTGGCGGAGAACAGGGCTCCAGACAGAATCTGGAACCCCAAAAGGACCAGGGAAAAGGTGTCTCGAGAGTGCCTGATTTGTTCCCCAAAACTCATCCCTAAGAATATGCTCCTGCCAGCTGGACTGAGACAGCGTGACCAGACAAAGAAGAGTCCAACAGGGCCACTAGACCGAGATGCCCTGCTGCAGTACCTGGAGCAACAGGCACTAGAAGTCAAGGAGCGTGATGACTTGGTGCCCTTCACTGGCGAGAAGAAGGGTATGGGCGCCCTAACATCTATGCCCTTCATAAGCCAAATGGCTGTCTCTTGCACTCCCTGTTAGCTTCCCTCCCCACTTCAGGCAGCTATCTGTCAAGGACTCAGGTTCCAGACAGCTGGATGCTAGTTCTCGTTGATATATTTTTATTTTGTTTTTTTGAGTTTTAATTTTTTTTTTGAGACAGGATTTCTCTGTGTAACAGCCCTGGCTGTCTTTTAACTCACTCTGTAGACCAGCCTGACCTCGAACTCACAGAGATCCTCTGCCTCTTGAGTGCTGGGATTAAAGGCATGTACCACCATCACCTAGCTTCAGTTTTTTAAAATTTTGAGATAGGGTCTCATTGTATAGCCCAGGTTAGCCGTGAGCTATCGGTCCTACCAGTTCAGCTTGCCAAATGCTGAGGTTACAGACACATGTCACCTAACCAGCCTGTACTCCAGTTTTCCTAGGAGAGGAGAGGACTGACAGAGCCCTGTGCTTGTAGAGAATTCAGGCTCCAGTCTGACCCCACACAGAGAAGGAAAGGAAGGCAGAGGCTGCCATCCTGGAAGCAATTCCCTGTACCTGAATGCCCTCATCTCTTACCAGGCAAGCCCTATATTCAGCCCAAGAGAGAAATCCCAGCAGAGGAACAGATCACGCTGGAGCCCGAGCTGGAGGAGGCACTGTCCCATGCTACAGATGCCGAGATGTGTGACATTGCAGGTGGGCAGCTGCGGGATGCTGAGGAAGGCGGGAGCATGGGGCTTGCGGCATCTTTGTCTTGACATAGGACTAGAAGGCCTGAGCTAGGACACAGACGACAGGGTTTCTCTGTATTGCTTTTTAGCCTGGCCTGGAACTCACTCTGTAGACTAGGCTAGCTTCAAACTCACGGAGATCCGCCTGCCTCTCCCTCCCGAGTGCTGGAATTAAAGGCCTGTGCCACCAAGGCAGTGGTTTTTGTTTTTTGTTGTTGTTGTTGTTTTGAAGACAGGGTTTCTTGGTATTACTTTTTAGCCTGGCCTGGAACTCGCTCTGTAGACCAGGCTAGCCTCAACCTCCTGAGTGCTGGAATTAAAGATGTGTTCCACCAATGCCCAGCTCTCAAGGCAGTGTTCTTTAGCTTTTCTTTTCTTTTTTTTAATTTCATAAGTTAATATCAAGAGCAACTTAACAGATGTTGTGAAGGTAAATGAAAATGGAACTGTTCTGGCTAACCCCACAGAGGATCTTCTCTGCAGATGGTCCTCACCCTCTAGTGACTCCCCAAGGGCCTTCCCTGAGCCCTGTCATGTTTTAGAAGAGAAGAGACTCCCAGAGCTGAGGGAGGGTGAGAAACTCTGCAGGAGTGGAAGACAGGTCAGGCTGTAAAACCGCTGCAGGAGAGACAGGCATGAGGCAGGCTTGGCACAGGCACCTTAACTCTTGTGTCCCTCTGTTTACCCTCACCAGCAATCCTGGGCATGTACACACTGATGAGCAACAAGCAATACTACGATGCCATCTGCAGTGGGGAAATCTGCAACACTGAAGGCATCAGCAGTGAGTGCTGGGGAAGCGCCCGCCCCCACCCCTAGAGCTCGGCACAGGCAGGCCAGCAGCCAAGTGCCGGACAAGGTGCATGGAGATGTGATGGGGATATGTTGGGGTTCTCCCTCTGCTCGTATCCCCGTCAGGTGTGGTACAGCCCGACAAGTATAAGCCAGTACCAGATGAACCCCCGAACCCCACAAACATCGAGGAGATGCTAAAGAGAGTGCGAAGCAATGACAAGGAGCTGGAGGACGTGAACCTCAATAACATGCAGGTATTTGCCCCCCCCCCCCGTCCTGACAGTGTCAGGATAACTGCCAGAGTCTTTAGTCCATCACCCTGTGCTCCCTAGGACATCCCGGTACCTGTGCTAAGTGACTTATGTGAAGCAATGAAGACTAATACCTATGTCCGGAGCTTCAGTCTGGTGGCCACAAAGAGTGGTGACCCCATCGCCAATGTAAGGCTGGCTGACATCCTTAGTCCTCTTCCTGTCATGCACCCCTGGTGAGGGCTGTCTTTATGGGTCACACTAGGGGGTGCTGTTCCCCCCACGATTTCTATGGCAGCCCTCAGAGATCTGCACCCTTACTCCTCTGGCTCACAACTCTGAAGTCGCAAAGGCATCACCCCCGCCCCCAACAACCTTCTCTAACACCCTCAGTCCCACCAGTCACCTTAATCTCCATGCTTTTACCCGCTCCCCAATCCCGACTCCTCCTGCCTCATACGAACCGGGCTGTTTCCCTCCTGCTCCCACTCTGCTCCTCGGTCACCTATGAAAGTGTCCCTAACCCTAACACAAGTCCCTACCACCCAGGCGGTGGCTGACATGTTGCGTGAGAACCGTAGTCTCCAGAGCCTGAACATTGAGTCCAACTTCATCAGCAGCACAGGGCTCATGGCTGTTCTGAGGGCAGTTCGGGAAAACGCCACTCTCACCGAGCTCCGTGTAGATAACCAGGTCAGCACTCCTTTCCCGGGGCTTCCTTTAGCTAACAGCCTGGGCAGCCAGCACTCTCTCCACTAACTCTACAGAAACAAGCGCGGAACCTCCCAGAGGTCCATGGGCTGGGATGGCGAACAACCATACGTATCTGATAGCTTTTACCTCTCTGTCCTCAGCGCCAGTGGCCTGGTGATGCCGTGGAGATGGAAATGGCCACTGTGCTAGAGCAGTGTCCCTCCATTGTCCGCTTTGGGTACCACTTTACACAACAAGGACCACGAGCTCGGGCAGCCCAGGCCATGACGCGGAACAATGAGCTCCGTAAGTAGACCCCATGTGGAGAAGGCAAACGCTGAGGTTGGTAGATATTCCTGAAAACAGACTGAGCGATAAATACTTGTGGCTGGCAAACACTTGTGGAGCTGAATGAACAGGGAAACAGATACAAAAGTCTTTCTTTGTCCAGTACACATCTGCAGAGAAGGGATGGAAGCTTGGCGTGACCGCACCTCCCAGAGACACGGTCCATTTATTTTCCAGTGTGGATTCTTTTTTTTTAATTTATTTATATTTCTAATGTACATTGATGTTTTGTTTGCATATATGTCTGTGTGAGGGTGTTGGATCCCCTGGAACAGGAGATACAGTTGTGAGCTGCCATGTGGGTGCTAGGAATTGAACCCAGGTCCTAGGTCCTTTGGAAGAGCAGCTAGTGCTCTTAATCGCTGAGCCATCTCTCCAGCCCCCCCAGTATGGATTCTTGATTTTGTGGTTACCATGGGACAGACCCATCAGGTGGCATGAGGCAGCGGTTTACAAATCTGCCTAAGGAAAGGGAGAGAGAAACACGCCCTGGCCAAGAGGAGAGATGGAGCTGTGCTCACCATTCTTCTTTTACAGGCCGCCAGCAAAAGAAGAGATAACATCACCAGTCCTTTACCAGCAAGAGACAGAGGCCTGGACACACAAATCCTCATCTCTCCCATTTCCTGTAAATAAAATCCCTTTTGTTCACGCCGCCTGTCTCCTTCCTTGGGTTGGGGTGGGAATCTTGGCGCTACCCCTCAAGGGTTACTGCCAGTTCATCAAGGGATTATTTATACTCTGGGGATCAGCAGGCAGGGAGGTTCAGGTTACTAGGAGGAAGGGGGGCTCTGTCCCTTGTGTTCCCCATAAATCTGCCAAAGACTTTAGCCTCTTCACAGGGTACTTGGCCTCAGTCCGCTTTGGAGAGGTGGCCAGAGCCCCTCAGTGCCCATTGGCAGCCCACAGTGATCTGAAGAGAAAGGCCTCGCGTGGAGGTGGGGAAGGAGTCAGAGAACATGAAGGGCAGAGACCTCTTTCTGACAGACTTATTAATAGGGCGCCGGGCTGAATGCGGCTGACTCTTGGCAAGGCTCTGGCAGGAGGTGGGGGGAGGGTCAGGAGTGTGGGGAGCCGTGGACACTGCAGGAAAGGAGTGGCCAGGCTGAGAATGACCACATTTGAAACCTTAGGACTGAACAGGGAACCTGGCTGGAGGGTTACTAGGCTCCCACGACCCACTGTAGTTTATTTGTGGAGCAAATGGGGAGAGGGTTATTAGTCCAAGGGGAGGTCAGGGGGCTCTTCCTCATCCGAGTCAAATTCAACATTTTCATCTTTTATCCATCGACCTTGTCCATCTGGGATCCATCCAGAGCTGGAATCATCAGAGAAAAAAAAACAACTGGTCAGGGAAGAGTTTTAGGAAAAAGGTTTGTGGTGCTGGGTTCCATCCCCAGGACCCGCAGGGTAGAAAAAAGGACCAACCCCTGTAAGTTGTCCTCTGACTTACACAAGTGTGGCCCTATATAAATAAATAAATAAATGTAATTAAGAAAAAAAGTTACTGGTGACAAGAAAAAAACAGTTGGGTTGGTTTGAAAAAAGTCAGGTTGGGCAAAAACGAAAGAGACCCGAGGAATGTGACCCGGCAGACTAACCTTCGGAGGGTAAGGTAATGGTTCAGGACTCGTCGTTTTGTGGGGCTCATGGGTGCAGAGGCCAGGAGAGCTGATGACTCTTTGGCATGTGATCCCGCCTTAGTCTCAGGTTCCCTACTGATCTTTGCATTCTGGAGTCCAACCTCTGGGGCTGGCAAAGGAGAACTGGAGGCAGAGGGAGTGGGGGCCTCTGGTCTGGGGAGAAAAGAACCCAAGCCTGTTTAATGCAAAGAAGGAAAGGGGCAGCTTCCTGTGCCTCCCACGCCCGAAGACCGAAGAGCAGTGTTTCCTAAGCTGAGTTCCTGAGGTTTGTTTGTCTGTTTTTTGGAGACAGGGTACAGGTCTCACAATGTACATATGGTAGACCTGGAACTCACTAGGTAGATGAGGCTGTCCTCAAGTTTACAGAGAGCCTCCTGCCTCTGCCTCCTGAGCATTGGGGTTAAAGGTGTGCACTGCCACACCCGGCTTGATTTCTGTAAGATCTTAAATATTCTACATATGAAAGATTTGGAATTAGGACAGGAGAAAAGCCAGCTTGATATATCTAAGTTTTTGTCTCAAGATTTTCCATAACCAGGTATCTGCAGCACTTGAGGGGCAGAGGCAGACAGGTTTTTGTGAGTTTGAGGCCACCCTGGACAGCCAGAGCTACAAAGGGAGATCCTCTCTCAATAACAAATAAAGGAAAAAGTGTACCACCACGCCCAAATAATGTTACTATTTTTTTTCCTTCTGTAGCCCTTGCCGGCATTACCAGCCTTGTTTCTGGAATGCTAGGGTTAAAGGCATGTGCCACCATCCAGCAGTAATGTTACTGTTTTTTTTTGTTTTGTTTTTGCATTATTTTCTTTTTTCAAGATAACAGGATTTTTTTGTTTGTTTGGTTGGTTGGTTGGTTTTCTGAGACAGGGTTTCTCTGTGGCTTTGGAGCCTGTCCTGGAATTCGCTCTGTAGACCAGGCTGGCCTCAAACTCACAGAGACTGCCTGCCTCTGCCTCCCGAGTGCTGGCATTAAAGGTGTGCACCACCACCGCCCGGCTCATTTCTCTAAACAACATCTGGAGAGCAGTAACTTTAGAGCCATTTTTCCTTCTACCCTTTTCCACTTCTGGCTTTCCTCCTCCACAGACCTGTGCTTCCGCCGGCAGCAACTGTTATAGTGGGGAGCTCTATGCAGAGCATTCTGGGTGATTAATCGGGTCTGGGTTAGCAAAGGTGCCTGTTTATGGAGAGAAGAAACACAGTCAGAGTTGTCAGGCACAAGCCCCTTCCAGCCCGTGGCATGCCGCACACCCCGGCCTGAACAACACTGGACCAGATCTCCCACCTCAGCTTTACTTTCTGTCTTCAATTCGTTCTGCTGTCTTGGGTTTTGCTCTGTTTTCTTGCCTGATTGCTTTTTGCCATAGAAAAGCTTCAAACCTGAGAAGAAAAGCAAAGGGAATGCAAAGCACAACACCAAGTGGTCTGCCAAAATGTCAAGAGTTTATTCTCTATCGTTCCTCGGCTCCCCTCCTCCTCCTATACTTACTGGATAGATGCTTCTTGCCTGCACGGTGGGCAGTCAGCATGGCCAGGGTGTCCAGTACTGGTCGATGCGGGCAGATAGCACAGGCAAAGCTAGGGAAAAGAGAAGGGAATGATAAAGCCGTATGTGTTCCAGAGCCGGCAGTTGGGGTGTTCCTACTAGAGTAGGGGCTACGCCCGTCAAAGCAGACCACCAACGCCCCGGTCTCCCGATCTCCACCTCTTCCAATCTTCACTTCCAACCAAAGAATGTAGTATACGCCTGATCTCCTTAGAAACTAAAGTTTGTTGAGCCTCTGATCGCAAATCCCCAGGCTTGATCCACGCTTGGCTCTCACCGTCCATCCCGCAGCATCAGCGCCTCGTCCTCCGGGATGTAACTGGCCAGCAAGTCTCCAACTCTTCGTTTCTGCCGAGAGCAGGACAGGAGAAACGGATATGTGGGGTGGGTGAAAAGAAATAATAGGGATGGAGAGTCAAATGGGACAGATCATAGGGCAGAAGAAGGAGGCACCACTCAGTTCTGGTCCCCTAAATCCCATCCCCCAGATGTCGCCAGAGCAACAAAACAAAACAAACAAAGCGCGACTGAAGCTGGGCTCTCCCTCTTTCTGTTTCTCTGATTTTTCGAGACAGGGTTTCTTTGTGTAGCCTTGACTGTTCTAGAGCTGGCTGTGTAGACCAGGCTGGCCTCGAACCAGAGATACACACCCAACAGAGATACACCAGCTTTTGCCTCCCAAGTGCTGGGATTAAAAGCGTGCGCCACCACGGCTCGTGGGCAGACTCTCACTAGGGCTTACTTTGAGCACATTGAGCTGACTCCAGTCGTCACCTTCCCTCTTGAAAGACATCGCGACTGTGAGTCTTAAAAATAATAAATTCTTCTACGCCTACTTCGCCTCTCCTTCAGGCCACCGTAGGAAGAGTAGGTTATCTCTTTCCCTGCTTCCGGTCTTTTTCTGGTTGAGTCTTTACTTCCGGGGATGCGTCTCACGCATGCAACGCGCGAGCCGGAAGTCCCGCCTCCAGAGCCCTGAGGGGGCCTGCATTTCCTATGATGCCCTGAGAACGCTGTGCCTTTTGGGAAATGAAGTCTTTTAGTTGTTTTCCTATTTTTTTTGTTTTTAAACGACCTTACCGCTCACCTGAGTACAGGCACTCGCGTCTCGAAGGGTCCAGGTGTTTGGAGACCGAGAACCTGTATGTGGAGCCGGCGCTCCAGGGTGGGACCCTCCTGATGTGCAGCGAGCCTTCGGGGAGCTCAGGGGACTGCACGCTGTCAACTCTCGCCGTCCTCACTCAAGCCCACAGCCACAGTCGGCCTGGGGGGGCCTGATTCGGAGCAGAGAGGATGAGGGGGCTCCCGGCGGCCCGGCTGCGGGAGGTGGGGACACACTGAGGGGAGCGTGTCTGGGGTTCAAAGGCCGGAGATCAGGCTTGCAAGGAGTTGGGGAGAGGGCGTCGAAAGTCGAAGGGGTCAGCGACTGACAACTCGGGGAAGGTATTTATGGTAAGGGGCTTGAGGGAGGAGACATGTAACCGGCCCGGCAGCCTTCTTAGGCTACGGACTGTGACCCCACCCTCAGTAAGCAGCAGCAAGAGGAGGACCGATGTAGTCTCTCGAGAGCTAAAGAGACCAGTGAAAAGGAATTCCTAGACTATCTCTCCATTCCTGGGGTTCGGCCCTCACTGTTGGTCACTTAGCCGGACTTTCCGCAGTTGTGACCCTAGATCTTGGCATCTTGAGATGGCTTCTCCCTCTAGACAGCCCCCACTTGGGGGGTCAGCGCTGTTGCATGGGAGCCGCGCTCGTTCTTATGGAAGCCTGGTCCAATCATCGTGCTCCCCGGTGAGGGAGAGACGCTTGGAGCATCAGCTGGAGCCTGGAGACACCCTGGCTGGACTAGCACTCAAATACGGGGTGACGGTGAGTCTTCCCAGGGTTGGGGTATGATGATCCTTCAGGAGAGATTTAGTCCCCAGGAGAAAGTGGGTGGTCCGCTAAGCGGCCTTCCCTGACGTTATATTAACTATACTGTGACGTTATATTAACTATACTCTGACATTATATTAACTATACTGTGACGTTATATTAACTGTACTGTGACATTATATTAACTGTACTGTGACGTTATATTAACTGTACTGTGACATTATATTAACTATACTGTGACATTATATTAACTATACTGTGCTCTCTGCTTTGTCTTGTTTTCACTTCTCAATGTAGCGCTGGCTACACCGACAGACCTGCCCTGCTATCCCAGAGGGAGGAGCAGCTCCTTGGAGTGGGTTGGACTCAGGGGTGGGGTTATAGCCATTAACCTATTTGGACTTTGTGCCCCTATCAACGTGAGCCTTAAGAGGGATAACCAGTTTGATCAAGGTCAAATAACTTGAGTGTCAGAGTAAGGTTTCTGATCGGTCTGTCTGACTCTAAGTCCCCTCCTGTTAGCCACGCACAACGAAACTGAAAGCGGCTAAACATTTACACGCAGGGAGGGCTGCCTTTAGGGTCCCTGAAGTGCCTGTTCCTACATCTTCTTTCCTCTCCAGGGCTGTGCTTTCTTTCCTTCGAGGCACAACACAAGTGCCCTCTGCAGACATCGAGCTCTCCTGCTCACACCCAGGAGAAGTTTGATGGTCCTAAAATTAACGTTGTAGCCTTCCCCGCTATATCCTGCTTTAGCACTTACAAACAGATGTTGAATTTAGACAGATTTCCATGCTTGCTGCACTTAAAGCATTATAGTAACCCTTCCTGGAGGTAAAGCATAAAGGTATATTGGTGTGCTCATGTAGTTTAAATTCTCATCAGGAATAGAGAATAAAATGGTTATGTAGAAATATTCACAAGGGGTGGGAAATCAGGAACTATTAATTTTTGTTTGGAATCTGAGAGTGGGTATTAGTTGATTTGTGGGGGGAGGGTGGATTTTCTTTGTTCTTTTTTTGTTACTTTTTTTTTTTTTCTCGAGACAGGGTTTCTCTGTGGCTTTGGAGGCTGTCCTGGCACTAGCTCTTGTAGACCAGGCTGGCCTCGAACTCACAGAGATCCGCCTGCCTCTGCCTCCCAAGTGCTGGGATTAAAGGCGTGCGCCACCAACGCCTGGCACGTTTTGTTTTTTGAGACAGTATTTCTCTGTAGCTTTGGAGCCTGTCCTGGAACTCCTCTGTAGACAGGCTGGCCTCAAACTCACAGAGATCCACGTGCCTCTTGAGTGCTGGGATTAAAGGTGTGTGTTACCCTGATGGCAGGCTGGATTTTCTAGTCAGTATGTCAGTGTGTAGCCTAAATTGGCCTGGAACTTAAAGTGTTCTTGTGTCTTAGCTGAGGAGTTCGAGCAAGGCACTCAGGGCTCGGTTTTAGGAGTGCCGTCATATGGGCCTTGCAGACTTAGGAACTTTCCCCTCTGTGCTCCCTTCTGCAGATGTGTGAGCCCAGATGTTTATCTCCTTGTCTTCCTGCAGTCTAAAAACTCTTTAAGAGCAGAAAGAATTTCCTTTCAACTTTATGTCTCCAAATCCTGGCATAGTCTCAGTGACACCGAAGTTTAAAAGGTTTCTGAAAGCTGCCTGGTGTGGTGGCGCAGGCCTTTAGTCCCAGGACTCGGGCGGCAGAGGCAGGCGGATCTCTGTGAGTTCGAGGCCAGCCCAGTCTATAGAGTGAGTTTCAGGACAGGCTGTTACATAGAAAAACCCTGGGGGAGAGGGAGTGTTTGAAAGCCAGGCTTGGTGGCACAGACCTACGATCTCAGCCATTAGGATGCCTGGGCAGAGGGATTCCAGGCCAGGTACCCGCATAGCAAGACGGAGGGCACTGGTGAGCTGCGGTGTTGGACCGCAGGAGACAGAAAGCTAGGCACTTTGTGGTGGGCTAGTACAGAGCCATGGGGAGTTGCTAGCCAGCTAGAGCGTTAATCAGATTCCCTCTTCCAGATGTCAAGAGAAAGATGTGTGCACACGAAAGAGGAAGAGCACTTAGACTGAACAATCACCCCAGATGAGAACTATTCAGTGTGGTGTTAGTGGGCAAGCATATGAGAACATGTGAGATTTTATGTTTATTAATTGTTGGAGGTCTGCTAGGGACCTAACCTAGGACTTTGCACACGCTAGGCAAGCACTGTACCATGGTGCTGCAACTATAGCCCCATTCAGATTGATTTATTTTATTATTAGGTAGGGTCTCACTATGTAGCTTCCTTAGCTCCACACTCAGAGATCTGCCTGCCTCTGCTTTCCAAGTGCTGAGATTAAAGATGTGCACGCCTTTGAGCCCAGTCCTCTGGAGGTTGAGGCAGAAGGATCTCTGAGTTCGAAGCCAGCCTGGTCTATACCCCAAGTTCTAGAACAGCCAGAACCACACAGAGAAACCCGGTCTCAAAAAACCAGAGGAGGAAAATATGTTCTACCATACCCAGCTCAGGTTTATTGTTGTAAGTTTACTTTTAGTGTCTTGCTCTCATTTATGTCTGTGTGCCATGGGTTGCTTGGTGCATCGGGTCACCAGGAACCAGAGTTACAGATGGCTGTGAGCCGCTGTGTGGGTGCTGGGAATTGCAGAAGCAATGAGTGCTCTTAACCACTAAGCCAGGTCTCCAGCCCCACAGCTTTAATTATTAAGACTTTAAACACTGGTAGCTTGTTTTGTTTTGTTTGAGACAAAGTCTCATGGAACCCAAGCTAGCCTCAATCTCGTTTAACCAAAAAATGGCCTTGAACTCAAGATCTTCCTGCGTCTCCCTCCAGAGGACTGGGACTACATGCTTATGCCACTACTCCTGTTTTGGTAGCTTCTAAATAAATGAAAGGGTGTAGGTTGTTTTTCTTTTTGTTTTCTTTTTTGTTTGTTTGTTTGTTTGTTTTTGTTGTTCGAGATAGGGTTTCTCTGTGGCTTTGGAGGCTGTCCTGGAACTAGCTCTTGTAGACCAGGCTGGTCTCGAACTCTCAGAGATCCGCCTGCCTCTGCCTCCCGAGTGCTGGGATTAAAGGCGTGCGCCACCAATGCCAGGCTTTTTTCTTTTTGTTTTCTGACTCAATAATTTTTAAAAATGTGAAGGTGACCTAAGAATAGAAAACATGAAAACTATAAAACAAGATTAATGTCAGCCCTTTATCGTTTAGCTAGTTTGTTACGGAGTCAAATAAAATTGTACAAATACTTAAAAAGTTTGAGTTGATGGCCTAGGAAAACGGCTCAGTTGGTAAACAACCGTAAATCATGGCGCAGCAGCCTCTGGGTCCCACTCAAATGCACGTGCCCCCCCCACACACACCTACAGTACAGTCTTTAAGATCCTGAGCCAGGCTTGTTTTGAAATTAGCCTGGCCTACACAGTAAAAAAGAAGATAAAAGGCTTGAGTGCTGTCTAAGATTGGTGGATTTTACTGGCAGTCATTAATTTTGGGTGTTTTTTTTTTTTTGAAGATGGAACAGATTAAGCGTACAAATCGCCTTTATACTAACGACTCCATCTTCCTGAAGAAAACGCTCTACATCCCCATCCTGACAGAGCCCAGAGACCTATTTAATGGCTTGGATTCTGAGGAGGAAGATGATGGGGAGGAAGGGGTACAAGCAAGTAGGGATGGCGTTGGTTCACATTCATCGAAGAAGAGTCAAGAGCCAGGTTCAGGCCGCGCCAACGGCGAAGCCCTTCCGCCTCACCAGGGAACCTCCACACCCACGCATGACCTTTCTGCCTCCGATTTCCTTAAGAAACTCGACTCACAGATCAGCTTGTCCAAGAAGGCTGCTGCCCAGAAGCTGAGGAAAGGGGAAAGTGGGTGAGTCTCCAGCTGTCCCTGTCAGTCCTCACACAGACCCCTTCTTGTATCGAATCACAAACTGAGGAGTAACCAAGGTGCCTGAGGAAGCCAGAGGATACCTTTCTCCCCGTATTTCCCAAGACCCTGGGCAGAGCCGGTGGCACCAGAACGGGGGAGGCAGTGGGAAAATAGGTTCGGTGGAGTCCGTGTCCTCACGGGTCTCGCTACCTGCAGCAGGGTTAGGACAAGCAGTTTCCCGGAAGACACTGAGACTCCGCCACCTCTCAAAACAAAGGAAGGCAGTCCCCTGCACCTTCCCACGTGGTCCATGCCCAGGTGCTTGGCTCACTGCGCTCTCCTCCTTTGCTTGCCTGCAGGTTACCTGAGGAGGGTGCAGAGCTCCACCTCAGCTCCCCTAGGATGCAGCAGCGAGCAGTCCTCGGTCCCGTGCCACTGACCCGGACCTCTCGGACCCAGACATTGCGGGATCAGGAAGATGAAATCTTCAAACTCTGATCAGTTTCCAGAGCTGATGAGATGCAGGATGCTGAAGGAGCAGCTGAGGGGAGAGGGGCCTGAGCTGAGGCTCGAGCAGAGCTTCCCAGACTGCCTCCCTCCTCTCCAGACATCTTGCCCAGCCTTTTGGTCAAGACTTCCTCAGCTGGGGACACTTTCTGGCAAGAGCAGGGCATGGGAACAGAGCTCTTCCCAGTTCTGAATCTAGAGTTGTCCTTTAGATTCAAAGGCTCCTTTACACCCTTGCTGTCCCTTTCACCATTTCAGGGTTAGAGCAGGACAGCAGAGCCCCCCCCCGTTTCTAATGATGTTACCTAATTTATTTGGTGCTATATTGAAGTAATATTTATTTGCTAGATCTAACTCCTTCCTCCTCTTAACTGAGAAACGTGATTTCTGTATCACTGAAGAGATGGGAACCCAGGGTGGTGAGTGGGGCTGGCTGCCTGTCTTTCCCACCTCCCTAGCCGAGCATGTTACAGAGGCCAGGAGAGTCAGGGAAACCCACCCACTGTCTTTTCCCGCTCTCAAGGTAAAGGATAGGGCTCGGTCATAGCTGAGCAGTCCCTGTAACTCTCTACAGCCCTTGGCTCTGAGAAGAAGCCATGGGGTAGGGCACTGACTGAGCCCTGCAGTCCTCACTTCCCCCTTCTTCCACTCTTCTGCTTGGCCTGTGGTGGGGTTCAGAGGAGGCAGCTGTGGAACAGGCCCCCAGCCTGCCTATGCCTTGTTCCTCATGGCATATTTATCTGTAATCTGTAGCCCCGATCTGCCATACAGTGGTGTCTTTTGTCCCTTAAGCTGAAGAAAGCATGGCAGCTCAGTACTACTGGGAGTCTCCCAACTCCTGTTCAGGAATGGGGAACGACGAGATGAGTGTTGTTTCTAGACCCTTCTATGTTGTCAAGTCTGAGTACGGAGCTAGAGATTAAACAGTGAGCCCTGTGCATGTTTTAGTGGTTTTATTTCCAGCCCCCCAGCTCCTAGAAACTCTGGAACACAGACTCTGCTGTGTGTCCAAGTGCTGCCTCTAGCTCTAGGAGATCTAGGAGGACTTTGATGGTCACCCTCCTGCCTCTGGCCCTCAGTGCCCCTGTCCTTGGGTTTGGGGCAGTTCTCCTGGGAGAAGCAGATCCGAGTTTCACTTCATCTTCCTCAATCAGCTGTTTCCTTTGCTGACCCTGGATGGGAGAGCCGCCTCACTGAGCTTAGCATAGCTGTGCTCCCAGCACTTTGTGGGTGGGGGTTGCCTTGGAGTCAGCAACACTCTTGGGAGAGAATGCAGCTGGGGGATTGACAAGCATTTGTGCAGGGTTAGAAAGCCCAGTCAGTCATTTTGCCAAAGTCCAATGTGCGGGGCTCTGGGGCGTCAGAGCTTCCCCTCATCGAGCAACTTCCGGAGCCCATCACAAATCTTGCCAAGGTGCTGAGTGAAGTCGGGCCCATAGAGGGCAGCCAGCAGGTCAGGGTCAGAGTAGTGATCAAACACGTGTCTGATGCGGTCATGTGACTTGGGTGTGAGGTGGTGCTCCACCAGCTCCAAAAGAATGTCCCGGCACTCAACCAGCAGGCCGGCTAGCACAGCAGCCTCGAAGGTGAAGTCCACCTCCCCAAAGCTAAGTGCGGTCATCGCCCCCTGCCGCAGCTTCTGGCGAAACCGAGTAGCCAGAGCCAGCTCCCCAGGACCAAAGCAGCCGCTGCGGTGCAGCACAGCCACCTTGACCGCCACCTTGATCAGGTCTTTGATCACCCGCTGTGCCTTGGGCCGGCTGTGCGTGTACTCTTTGGACACCCGGTAAAGCTCGTCTAACACCTCACTGCTGGTCTCGTCGATAAAGAGATGGGCCACGGACCGACCAGCCATTTTACTCAGTAGCTTCTTCTCTGCTTGTAGTGCCAGACTCTTTGAACTGAAGGACTCCATGGTACTTGGGGTGGGTGTGTGGTCAGTCACTGGCAGAGGCCACCGGCTTCCTTAGAGAGAGAGAGAAATGGCTTTTCCCCATTTTCATGCTTTGGCTGCGTGTCCTCCCTTTCCCCTGGGCCCCCTCCATCGTGTAAGCCTTGCTTCTGCTTTTTCCCTTTATCGCTGCAAACTAAGACGTGTGTCTCCAAAACAGCACAGAGGAGCAGGGAGAGCCTTGGCTGGAGGAGCCTGGGTATAACTGGAGTCTTAGAGCAAGAGACTCCTGCCAGGATGGAGAGCCTAGAACCATTTGACAGGGATCACACAGATACCAGTTTTGGACACTTAACTGTAGTATATTCATTCATAGGTGTTGCCCTCGTGCGACGATGCTAGAGATCAAAAGCCCATGTCAGTTGGAGTACCACATAGCCTTAGAAGTGAGAGACAGATGGGCCTCCAGAATCCTAATAAGAACATTTGGCACTGGGAAGTGGTGGCGCACACCTTTAATCCCACCACCTGGGAGGCAGAGGCAGGCAGATCTCTGTGAGTTCAAGACCAGCCTGGTCTACAGAGCGAGTTAGGACAGCCAGAGCTACACAGAGAAACCTTGTCTTGAAACAAACAAACAAACAAATAAATAAATAGCACTTGGCATTTTCAGAGGCCTACTGTGTGCCAAGTGCTTAATATGACCTCCCTCAGTTTTCCAACTCCAAAAGGGCAATAGTCATATTTTACAATGAGAAATCTCCAGGAAAAGAGAACTTTTTTGTTGTTGTTTTTAAGACAGGGTTTCTTTGTGTAATCCTGACTGTCCTGGAACTCAGTAGAACAGGCTGGCCTCTGCTGCCCAAGTGCTGGCATTCAAGGTGTGTGCCACCACCGTCCAGCAAGACTGAGAGAATTAAGCTACATGTCTTAGTAAATGTTAGTAAATGATAAAAACAGGCTTCAGGGGGCTGGAGAGGTGACTTGACTCACACTCAGAGACAACTCACCATCGCATATAACCCCAGCCTCAGGGGGATCCAACACCTCTGGCTTCCACAGCCACACCACACACACACACACACACACACACACACACACACACACACACACACACACACTTTAAAATAAAAACAAATTGTAAAAAAAAAAAAAAAAGGCTACAAGTTAGATAATCCCCCCAAGCCCCTTTCTAACAAGGAGTTGTGCCGATGAGGTCTCAGCCCTCTGAGGAAGCCGGGGACAGCCGGATGGGGTCTGAGCCGAGGTCCTCCTGGTGGTATATCCTGTGCCCGGGCCCTCGCCATGGTCCCCCACGAAACTTCTTCTGCTTGTTTTGCTTCTTACTTCCCCCTCCCCTGCTCTGCAGGATGTGGCTGTGACCGCAATGAGGAGCAACCTCACCCTGTCCCCCAAATGAAAAGGGAGTCTGAGAAGGCGGAGGGAGGATAGCCAGGGGGGTCTGAGGAGGCGGAGGGAGGATAGCCAGGGGCTTTCTCCCCCAGCTGAATCACTCCACTAGGAACCTGCAGCCTGGATTTGTTACTGGCTCGCCCTGGGCTTGGTTGGACTGTCCTCTACAGTGGGGGTGGTCGCTCCATCGGAGCCTGCCTTCCTGGCTCTCCATCGCCCCTGGTACCATCCCCAGACAGGTTCCCAGGCCTCTCGAGTTCTGTCACTTGCCTTCTTCTTCTAGTCTCCGTGTCACCCCATGGACCTCTAGCTAGCTAAGCTTCCACTTTGTGTGACTGTCCTGCCTTGTCCCACCACACACCTCTAAAGCTCTGTCACACGCCAGTGCGTACCTCCATCCCTGGGCTCTACACTCCGCTCCGTGCTCATCCCAAGCCACAGGGCTTTTCCAGCTATGCCTTGCCCCTCCGCTAACATGGCTCTTGTGGGGACCCAAGAATTCTACAAGTGAGAGTTTCACAATAGGAAAAGAGAAGTAAGGGTAAATGGGCAGGACTATCCCGTCACTGTCACCCCAATCCTGCCCTTCTGTCAAGCCAGTCACTCACCTGCTGGGTGCTGGGTGCTGGGTGCTGGGTGCCAGTCTTCCCTTGGATGTTCCTGAGAGCTAACAGAATGGAGAAGCTCCTAAGTAAGAGGCCCTTTGGTCTAGCCCCACCCCAAGCCCCGCCTACCTACTCTCAACCTCCGGTTCATCACCACTGTCACCAAGAAGGCCTCTGCCCTAAGAGCAGCCTAGAAATAAGACAAAGGTCAAAAGGAATGGAGCTCGGTAGGAAGCACCATCTCTGAGGTGGGAAGGACTGACCACACCCCCCACTTAAACTGTCCTCTTCTTTCTTGCTGCCTAATATTCTTGTGGTACCCAGAAAGATGCAGAGTCCAGATTTTAATGCGGCGGTGGGTGAGGGAGTACTGAAGATCAGTGGTGCAGTAGAACAGCATTATCTCAAGCATCTTCTGGTCCGGGCAGGTAAGCTTGGCACTGTCCTGGCTGTCAGTACTGGCCGCAGGCAGGTGCCAATCCCACTTAAGGCTGCTGAGCTATATGTGACCAGCAGGTGTCAGCATCAAACTGAAATGCTAGAGGACCAGGTACAGAGCACAGCAGCTGTTAGATGGTTTAGGAAATAAGGGCAGTCCAGTCTCCATTGAGGCAAAAGTATCTGCTAAGCAGTGGGCCAGGCAGTAGTGGCACAGGCCTTTAATCCCTGCACTGGGGAAGCAAAGGCAGGGGATCTCTGTGAGTTTGAGGACAGCCTAATCTACAGAGGTAGTTCTAGGACAGCTAAGGCAAAGAAACTCTGTCTTATTTAAAGGTACATGCCTTTAATCTCAGCAGCACTCAGGAGACAGTGACAGGTGGATCTCTGAGTTCCAGGCCAGCCTGGTCTACAGAGTGAGTTACAGGTCAGCCAGTGTTGCACAGTGAGATCCTGTCGTGAAAATAACTACCTATAACTCCAGCTCCAGGGGTTCTAATGCTTTCTTCTGGCAGAGTCACTTGCATGCACACGATCTCAAACATAAATTTGGGCATACACAGACACACAAATCTTTTATACTTGTTAAATTTTATTTATTTATATAGTTAGTTTTGGGTTTTTTGAGATAAGGTCTCTCTGTGTAGTCCTGGCAGTTTTGGAACTTGTTCTGTAGACCAACCTGGCCTTGAACTCACAAAGAGTTGTCTGCCGAGTGCGTGCTGGGATTAAAGACACACACCATCACTGCCCCACAAACCTGTTTTGTCACAGCACCAGGACCACCAGCCCAGGTGCTCACAATGAGCTGGGCCCTCTCACATCAACCATCAACCAAAACCTGCACCATATCTGGGTGTGGTGGCACATGCCTTTAGACCCAGCACTGGAGAGGCAGAGGAGCTCTGTGAGTTCAAGGCCAGTGTGGTACACATAGTACGTTCTAGGTCAACCAGGGTTACATAATGATAGTGATAACTTATTTCAATTTTTTTTAAAGACAGGGTTTCTCGGGCTAGAGAGATGGCTCAGAGGTTAAGAGCACCGGCTGCTCTTCCAGAGGTCCTGAGTTCAATTCCCAGCATCCATAAGTGGCTCATGGCCATCCATAATGAGATCTGGTGCCCTGTTCTGGCATGTAAGCATACATGCAGACTGAACAGTGTATTCATAGTATGATGGGGAAGTCCTGTGTATATGTCAATAAAGCACTGTTGGCCAATAGGGAAGCAAGATAGGTGGGATTAGGAGTTGAGGAGGACTTTGGGTAGGAGAAACACAGGGAGTCAAGATGTAGCCCGCCAGAGAAATAAGATGTGCGGAACTTTGCTCCGGTAAGAGAAATACTTAGATTAACAATTATGGGGTAAATACTTAAGTTAGAGCTAGCCAGTAAGAAACAAGCAAGGCCAACAAGCTTCATAATTAATACAGTGTCTTGTGTGTTATTTGGGGACTACAACATGGCAGAGCCCAGGTGACTGGTGGTGAAAAACCAAAGCGGCTAGCAAAGAAAAGTCCTCTCTTTACAATAGTAAATAAATAAATAAATGAATAAATAAATAAAAAGTCTTTATGTTTTGTTTTGT